TCTCAAAAGGCTCGGTGGCCGGACGAAGGGAGGAGGAGTGAGGGGCGGCGCGCAGCCGACCCTCGACGCAGGGACCACACGGCGGTGCAAGCGAAGGCGGCAGCGACGGCAAGACACGTGGGAGGCCTAGGACAAGACGCTGACTAGACATAGCGCGCAGACGAGGAAGGGACGGGTGCCCCATCCGGTGGTGCCACAGAACGGTGGGGTGGGCAAGCGACCGGCAGGAGCACGACGCAGCGACTGGAGCAGACGTAGGAACCTGACACGACACAGACACCTGGGGGGACGAAGCAACCTGGTGAGACGCGGGGACCGGAACGGGGGGGGGAACCGGGGGCAGTGGCAGTAGGGGCGGCTGCTGGTGCGACCGCTGGTGCAGCTGCTGCTGCTGCTGCTGCGGCTGCGGCTGCTGCTGCTGCTGCGGCTGCTACTGCGGCGCACGCGGGCCAGTGTGAAGAGTGTAGAGACCCGAGCCCGGCTCAGCAGTAAAGGTAGCAAGAGGCTGGTAAGAGTCTCCGTCAACACACACCGCAGTCTCTCCAGAAGGCTCAAACCACACACCCACGTGCTGACTCACGAGGGGTCGCACGCCCACCAAGTTCCGGGAGAACGAGGGGACGTGAAACCCAGTGAGAGACCCGGAGGGAGCAGCAGGACACGGTAAAGTGGTAGTGTGACGTGCAGTGACTGGTCCCGTAGTGGGATCAGCCAAAGCCACAGAAACAGGCGCAGGAAGTGGTGTAAGTGTCGTGCTGTCCCGGAAGAAGCAGTGTGAGGCTCCAGAGTCCAGCGTGAACGACAGCGAAGCGTCCTCTGAGGTAGTCGCTGGTCTAGAGTCTACACAAGAACCTACACTAGCAACAGGCAACTGAGCAAGACTAGCACCTAAGCTAACAACACCAGAGTAAACAGAGTCAGAAACACTAGAGTCAACAACATCATACATAGCATGAGGAGCACCAATCAGATCAACTAACTGCTCAGCAGACATGCCCCACAGAGCGGAGCCGTAGCGCTGAACCAGAGGAAGCCAGTCAAGAGCAGGACCGCCAACCCCGTAGGCCAACCGGACCGTGTCAGTGAGCTGAGCAAAGCACTGACCAGGGGGGTGAAAGCGGCCACAAGGGTGGCCCCGACGAGGACCTGTCAGAACCTGATAGGTGCAGGGAGGGTAAGAAGCACCGCGCTGGGGCTGACGCAGCCCCGACCCCGGAGCCAGCTGCTGACGCTGCTGCTGCTGAGGCTGGCGGGAGGAAAGGGGCTGCTGCTGCTGCTGAAGGTGCTGCTGACGCTGAGCCTGGTACCACGCCGCTGCTCCACCTAGCGGGGTCGGCAGTACAGGAGGCGACTGACGAGCTCGGGGGTCGCCGCCACCAGCAGGCGCAGTGGAGTCACCAGCCGCTGCACGAGGGGTCTCTCCAGACGCTGCACTCCCACCACCGCCAGTCGCAACAGCACCCCCACTACCTCCGCTACCTCCACCTCCACCTCCACCAGAACTACCTTTCTTGCCACCCTTGCCGCGGGACCGCGACGCAGTCGTAACAGCAGCCGCAGTCGCGTCAGTAGCGGCAGTGGTGAGAGAGGCAGTGAAGGTGGGTAACTGCGGGACTGTGCACCCGTGGAAGAGTGGGGGGGACACAGTACCAGAGGCGGCAGCTACCGAGCGAAGGTTGCTCTCGACATCCTTGAGTGCAGACTCAAGGACCTCGATAGTCAGCTGACTAGGGTGTTTCAGCAGAAGCGCGTCACGAACGGAGGCTAGGCGGTCAGGGAGGCTAGTGGCTATGAAATAGACAGTAATCGCCATGGGGGGAGGAAGCAGTGCAAGCTGTGCCTCAGTGCAAGCAGCGCGGTAACTAGCGTCGAGCGAGCGGAGGTGAGCGATCAAGTCAGCAGAGCGCTCAAACGAGGCGAGATCAGGAAACAGGAATGGGAGGAAAAGACGGCCAAGAGAGACAGTAGCGGGAGTAGAGTAGCGGGCCTTAATCGCAGTGAGGTACGCAGCAGCGGTGCAAACCTGAGTAAAGTGGACCTCCTCTGACTCAGGGAGGAGGCTGCTGAGTGCGATGCAGGCCGCAGCGTCACGCGACGTCCAAGCCGTCCGGTCAGCGCGCTGACGGGCAAAGCGAGCCGTAGCAGCGTCGTCAGGGGCAGAGCCTAAAGCTGTAGGCTCGGGGGGCTCGGGGAGGTCACCAGTAGCGTGCGACCAGAGGGTCTCGCCCCCCTGGACCTGACTCTCTAACAGACGGCGAGCGCGAAGAAGCCAGACGGAAAAGTCAAGTGGTCTACCGTCAGCGTCGAAACGAAGAACTCGCGGAGTCGCCATAGTGAGAACTAACGCGAACGAACAGGCGAGTAATAACCGGGGAGAAGAGGCAAATTAGGGTTCAGGTGGGAAGGGGACTCAGTCGCAGCGGAAGAGCGGGCTAGGGCGACGGGCCAGGGCGTAGGGTAGGGCGACGGGCTAGGGCGTAGGGTAGGGCGACGGGCCAGGGCGTAGGGTAGGGCGACGGGACAGGGCGTAGGGTAGGGCGACGGGCCAGGGCGTAGGGTAGGGCGACGGGCCAGGGCGTAGGGTAGGGCGACGGGCCAGGGCGTAGGGTAGGGCGACGGGCCAGGGCGTAGGGACGGGACAGGGCGACGCGACGGGGCAGGGCGGCGCGATGGGGCAGGGTGACGGGACGGGGCAGGGTGACGCGACGGGGCAGGGCGACGCGACGGGGCAGGGTGACGGGACGGGGCAGAGCGACGCGACGGGGCAGGGCGACGGGACGGGGCAGGGCGACGCGACGGGACAGGGCGACGGGACGGGGGGGAAAGGGCGGGCACGACGTGACGGGGGGAACGGGCGCGACGCGACGGGGGGAAAGAGCGCTAGGCGACGGGGGGAAAGGGCGCGACGCGACGGGGGGGGGGGGGGGGGGGGGGGAAGGGCGCTAGGCGACGGGGAGAAAGGGCGCTAAGCGACGGGGGAGAGGGTGCTAGGCTCGGTACTAGGCGCGGTAACAACGGAACCGGTACGAACGAGAGGTAGGATCAGGCTCGGGAGGGACGAACGGAGAACGGAGGAACGGGATCCCACAGGATCCTAACCTAGCTGATACCATGTCAAAATGAGGAATGATGATGCCATTGATGTTGGTTGGGGTACATATAACAAACCCTAACTTCTGTACCCCCTAAGACAAACCTCACTACAGGCTACAACATTTGACACCAACGTCTCCCTGGAGGTTCCCACGTTTTATAGAACCCCTGTAAGCGTCATAAAATACGTTGTCCTCGGTCGGGGATGTTTGTAGATTTACCAAGATTGCAATAGTAGCAGTCTTCACCACCCCCCTAATTCTCATTTGCAGCTCAAAATCAGGAACAAGAATCGGGCAGGTATGAACACTATGTAGGCATAGTGATACTGTTATCGAAGCACCTTACGAGGTGGCAGATATTTCCGCTGATTTGTTTGCCTTCTGGGTCCTTTCAAGGACCACAGGAGCTCCCAATTTCTGTGGTCAGAGGATGCCATTGGACTGGATGGGTTCAAACGGATGTGTGAGCAGGGAAAAGGTTGCTGCTGTATGTGGACTGGGTGGGGGTGGCGGGGAGTGATCTTGGGCTAGAATGACGTCAGAATCTAGGTTGTCATAATTCAAGTCACGTGACACCTCTGATCATTACATCCTTTCAGATTATTTTCTGGTCAGGAATGAAACTTTACGGTCTCTATTGGCTGTGATGCTTGACCGTCCACTGCATATTTTAGTCAATACAATAGCTGCTTGTTCGCTGGAGGACGGCCATGCTCGAAGTGTATATCGTGATGCCCAGGAATTGGACACAATTACTGTGCTCGTTCTGCGAGTGCAACACAGCTTGCACCGCAGCATTACTTTCAACTGACCGTTCTCACAAGACACACAAAGTTCGTTGTTTGAAGTTCGGTTACTGTAAATATTTCATCGATGCTCTGGGAAAACCCCAATGTTGTTACTGAACTTTTTCTTGAAACCACTTTTGGGCAGTCAATACATTTTCACATCTTCGTTTCAAAGGTCCCCTGGGCACTGCACGCGGATCTGCACTACAGACATGTAAGGACATCTGCCATCGTGCGGCGCGCCAAGGAGAGCAGTGAAACACTTTTTTCTGCCTACACTTTACTTTCTTCGCTGGGCGTTGGACGATCACCCCCCGATGTTTGTCAGTGGAGTCCAGCCAGCAGTTGGGGTCACAATTTGCTACGACGACGCGTTCAGCGACGGCGAAACAACAATCTAGCAAACACGCACTGTCGCAGGATTCCAAGCGACCAGTATCTGGAGGAATCATAGGGTATCTATCGTCGCAAAAGCCGTCGCAAAAGCAGTCATCTCCATCCAGCAAAACATGCATCCGCCATACCTTCGCCCTACATCCCTTTCCCCAACCACCTTCCATGGCATCCCTCCTGTATAATGCTGCATCCTGCTTGTCATCTTTGTTTTCACCCCTCTAAATCCCTTTCCACTCTTCTTCCTCCCAGTCCACTCCTCTCCTCCACTTTCTTCTGCTGCCCTCTCATTTCCTAACTTCTGTACTACTACTCTCTGTCAGACAGCTTAGCACTTTCACCTGCTTCTCCCTCTAAAGTGTCATGACACAACTGTGTCTCACTCCTTTCTCCCTTCTCAGCTCTCACTCCTTTCTCCCTTCTCAGCTGTCTTTCACTCCAGCGATTATCAATTCTCCTAGATTGAACGATCATAACATCCGATCCGAGTGGTCGTTTCGGCTACAGCTTCTTCTGGAGGGTTATATCCAGTTTTAATACAATCTCCAGGTGGCGAATAGAGCGAGTGCATCTCAATTCTGCTACCTAACCCCTGCAGTCATTATTTCTTTCTGCTTTTCACAGCCGTCACTGCACTATATTATCACATTACAAGCTATAGCGTTATTATTCAGTACTTCCTGGTCGTCACGGTGTCATTGTCACGTCAGAAGCAGCCAGAACGATGGCCTGTGTTTTGAATGCCAGGACCAGTCAGATGGGAGGCGCTGGAGTTGACAAGGATGTCGGCCAGTCAGCTTCTGGCAACGCTTCCAGGGAGCGATCCAGCGTGGATTACGGTGCTTACCTGGGTGTTCGCGAAACCGCGATCGCCAAGAAGTATCCTGTTTTGACGAAAAGGAATGGGATAAAGGTTGACCTGAAGGCAAAAGCTCGACGATCGTCGAACGTCGCCGAGGCAGCCCTGGCAGTTGAAGTTGATACGGCTTCTCAAGGGGATGACAGCAAGGGTACTGAAGCAGGATCGATGAGCTCTTGCTTGGTTGAAGAGCGCCCAGTAGGAGCCGTTGAATCGGACGGAGCTTCCGCGAAAGACATCGCCGTTGATCATACGTTTCAAGACAGGGCTGAGATCGGAAATGTGTGTGAAGACAGTCCGGAAATGCTGGACGGATGCGATATCTCCACGTGGCCTGATTTCTCCGTCGATCCTCTAGGAGCTGGCGAAATCGACGATCTTGATGTACCTGGTAACTTGAGGAACCTGCAGTTACCCGATCCCGAGGATACGCTTCTGGACAAGCGGTCTGGCGAAGCGACCGAAGTGAAACGCGAACCTGTTGTTGCCGAGGATGTTCGACCGTCGGAGACTTTTCATTCGGATTCGCACCTGAATGAGCAAAGCGATATGACTTCCAAGGACACCAGCAAGAGCCCAGCGCAGAAGAAAAAACCCAAGGTCAGTCAAAATTTTCTGGCTTTTGTTATGAAGCGTGGCGACTTTCATGCGTCTGATGGTCTTTGTTCTTCTTCACATTGATCAATCAACGTCGTCTTATCGGTTTGCAGCGTGCGTCGTCTGTTTGTCTGCTATGATCTTCGCATTCCGTTAGAACACCACAGCTCCTCATTCTTGTTATCATTCCGTATCTCCCCATTCTCATCGCCTCCATTCCACATTCAGGTGGATTGGACGCCGGAGCTTCACAGAAGGTTCGTGCAAGCGGTGGAGCAGCTAGGAGTGGACAAGGCGATCCCTTCCCGCATTCTCGAGCTCATGGGCGTCAAGTCCCTCACTCGCCACAACATCGCCAGCCATCTCCAAAAGTACCGCTCGCACCGCCGCCATCTCGCTGCGCGGGACGCGGAAGCCGCCAACTGGCACACCAACCGCGCACCCGCGGATTCCGGCGCTTCTGCCGGCGCCTGGCCAGCTGGCGCTGCTGCTGCCGCTGCTGCTCCGGCGGGAACGCCTGGAGCATCGGGATCCACGTGGGGTCCCGGAGTCCCGCCTGCGGGTGCGGCCGTTAGCGGTGGTGGTACTCCGGCAAATGCGGTAGCAAATGGCGTTCCCAATGGCTCTCCGGGTGGTGTATCGCATGGGGTTCCGACGGGTCATCCTGCCGCCATGATGCCGCCTCGCCAAATGCCCGGCATGATGCCTCCGTGCCCGCCGATGCCGTTCCGCCATCAGCCGTACGGCAACATGCCGATGATGCATCCGCATCAATCATCGCCTGCCATGGGCCCCATGATGCCGCACCCGCCGCCAGCCATGGGCATGCCGGTATGGGGCCATCCGACGACCGGGGGAGCGTCGCCAGGCGGTTTTCCGCGGACGCACATGTGGGGACATATGCAGCAGCAGCAACAGCAGCAGCAGCAGTGTCAGGCACAGCAGCAGCCGCAGCAGCAGATGCAGCCGCGCGTGGCGGCGTACCCGCCTCCCTCGTGGCTGGCCGTTGATGGTTCCTCTCCGTGGCACCACTACCCCGCGGTACGACTAACCTTTCAACCTCGTCGTCATCCTCATAATGTGTACTTGCAATCTGTACTTTATTGTAACTGCGCACCCCAATCCCCCCCGTTCCCATCCACTCCCCTCCCTCCCGCTTATTCCCGCTTCATCCTGCTTTTTATATCCTTACACTATCCTTCGCTCGTCCTTCTACCACAATGTCGGTTTCGCTTCTTACTCTCTCCCTCACTCCCCCTTCCCCCCCTCCCTGCGCCACTCCCCCTTTTCCCCCTCCCTGCGCCACTCCCCCTCCCCCCCGTCCCACCGCCTGCAGTTCCCCGCGGGTCCTCCGCCGATGGACGCGTGGCCCCATCCCGGCATGCCAGCGCGCGGAATGCCTTGCTTCCCCCCGCGCCAGCACCAGCACCCGCTCAGCTACCCCATGCCGCCCAATGGCCCTCCCAACGGCGCTGCCAGCGGTCCTCCTGGCATGGTCTGCGGCGCGCCTGTCTGTCCGCCTAACGCCATGCCGCCCAACGGCTATCCGCATACCGGCGCGCCTCCCTCCGGAAGCCACGCGAACGGGGCCCCTGCCATGATGCCTCCGCCGTCCCCCTTCCTAGGAATGCCCATGATGCCCGGTCTCCCGCACGCGCCCAGTTTCGGCCCCTCCCCCGGGCACGGGTGGGGCATGGGGGCGATGCTGTCCGGAACGTCGGGCGGAGGGGGAGGCGGGGGGGACGGGGGGGCGGGTGACGCGGCGCACGTGGCAGATGAGGCGATGCCGAATCCGATGTTTCCGCTCTCGGATGATCTGACGGTGGACCTTGCTGCGATTTCAGCTAGCATCGGGGACGATTTGCATGAGGTGAGCTGGAGATGCGTGTTCGAGTGCGTGCACTGAATGACAGTATTTGCATTGTCTTGAGCTGTGAGGAGCGCGGGGAGCAAGGAGCGGGGGCAGGGGGCAGGGAACGGAGGGCGGGGAGCGGGGAGCATGTGCTGAATGTTGTCATTCGCGTTCTCACGAAAACGACATCCTTGTTGCCCCTATTAGCCAAGCCCTCGCGAACCCAGACACACCGCTGCCTCTGGGGCTCAAGCGTCCAAGGGTCTTGTGCCCACTGTGGTCAGTTCACTCATGTACCAATTTCCCTTTCCCCCTCTCCCCTCCTCCCCCACCTCCCCCCCTCCCTGCGCTCCTCCCCACAGGCCAACGACATTCTAGACGCGGCCATCAGCGAGGCGCTCACCAACCCCGCCACGCCGCTGCCGCTGGGCCTCAAGCCTCCGTCGCTGGACGGCGTTTTGGACGAGCTCAACCGCCAGGGCATCCGCATGCCCGCCTCCACTGCTGCCGCCGCCGCCGCCGCCGCCGCTGGTGCTGCTGATGCTGGGGATGTTGTAGCAGCTGACGCAGCTGGCTCGGATGGCGCACCAGTCGCGTTTGCTGCGCTAGCGGATGCTGACATGCTTACTGCAGCTGCTGGGGTTGATGGTGATGGTGACGACGAAGGTCTCCTATCGCTGACGGACTATCCTGCTGGGCTGTTTTGCTCTGCGGAAGCCATGGCGGCTGCTGCCTCGTTCCTCAAGGAAGAAGCTGTGTAGGCTACCAGGTTATGTGCCAGGCCAGGCTAGCGTTGAAACAGGAAAAGGGCTTTTCTGGTTCTAGACTTCTGGACGGATCAAGGTAGTGGCAACAGCAGTGGTTTGATGCGTGAAATGCTTCAAGAGTCAGAAGGTAGCAGTGAAAAGCAGGGGTTTCAACTTCAAGCTGGCTGCCACAAAACGGCTCCACGTCTCTCTGGTGGCTTAGAACCCTAAACCCTTGGGCATTTTCACAGCACGCCCTGGGCGAGTTCGAATCTCAGGCAGAGCAGCTGGGTTTTAGCCATGGACCTCTTCCCCATCAACCTTCCTGAGGTAGCGGCTGTGAGTGGCAGCACTTCAAGGCAGCAGCTGGGTGAGTTGCATCAGCAGCAGCAACAGCTAGGTGGTTTGTAGCAGTAGACAGGGTTAGCTGGAGCAGCAGTTGCAGCTGTGGCTGGGCCTGCAAGCAGATCTCTCTAATAAGTTACCAAGTTACGTGTCTCCAGTTTCTCTCGCCTCTCGGGCTTTAAAGAAAACAACTGACAGTGTGCAACTGACACCTGCTCGCTCTGCCGAAGTGTGCCTTGAGCCAAAGGCGAAGGGCAAGGTAGCTGGTGAAGCAGAGCAGTATCCCGGCAGGGCGTTTTTTTGGGGGGCTGGGCTGGGCCACACAGCAGGGTGACATGGATCAAGAGCAGTCACTCACCCTGAGTGCTGATGGGTTTTTTCTTGTGTTTTTTCCCTAAATCCCTCATCTCATTTGGCCCTCTTTTACCGTAGCAGTTCTACACTACTACCGTACTCTCCCACTTCTTTCTAGGAGTTAGCTGCTTTGTCAAATGGGTTGGGTTAGTCTCTAACTCATCCCCTGAACTTTTCCTTCATGTACACAAAATCCCAAAAAAATGTTATTTACTTTATTTAGGTTAACCATTGAGCGCTAGATAAGCATAAGAGCGTGTTCCTACGGGCCCCTATCAGGCCAGCCCCTTGTCAGACTCGCCTCAAACACCAGAATTTCAGATTAGGCGCATTTTGTATTAGACGTTTTGATCGTTTGTGAAGTGCGCGACAAAATGCGTTGGGTGACGTGGCACTGCGCAACGGTCCCGAAAGGTTGCGAAGGAAAAAAATTCCGAGTTCAGACAAATTCCAGACGGTTGAAACGTGTGTTTGGTGGAAAAGATTTCGCGCGATTGGTTGACAAGGGTAACTGAACAGTGTTGGGAACAAATAAGTCTTAAGGCGCCTCTGTCGTGTCGAAACTCAGGACACTAGCGAAGCAGCCCAAATCGAAGCATCGCGAGTCAACCCTCGGAGGTTAGGGTAACCGCCTAGAGGTTACGGGAAAGTCAAAGGTGTTGGGCTGAGATAGCCCCTTAGGATCTTTGCAAGGGATAACTCTAGGTGAAGTAGTTGTAATAGCGGAAGCGTTTAGTGAAGAATTTGAACCGACCTTGCACTGGTGTGTGAGAGCAAAGTTGATTGAATTAAACAAGCAAATACAAGGATTTATATAAGAGTACAGGGAATACGAATAGATATGTAGATAACTGTATTGCTGTTGCGGTTCGATACAGTGCGACTCGGGCAACTGCTCTGTAGCGAGTCAGTTGTGTGTCCTTAACTGTCGCGCTGTAATTGTCGAGTCAAAGGTCAGCGACCTTTGACTTTCTCGTAACCTCCAGGCGGTTACCCTAACCTCCGAGGTTGACTTGATGCTCCGATTGGGACTGCTTCGCTTGGTGCCTTGGGTTTTGATACGACAGAAGCGCACTTAGGACTTATTGTTTCCAACACTCCCCTTCGCTTCTGGAGTGTCGCTGCTGGTGACGTGGCCTTGTCCAGTCAGCATCATGCAGTATTCGAACTTCTGCTTTCCGAGTTTCTTGGTCAAGTAATCGGCTGCCATCTCGGATGTTGGGCAGTATGACAGATCGAGTTTCCCCTTTTCTATCTCGTCCTTCACGAAGAAATAGCGCAGGGCGATGTGTTTCGTCCTGTTTGCGAAGCCGTTTTTGTTGGCGATGCGAATTGCTGACTGGTTGTCGCAGAACACGGTGAAGCTGGGTAACTCGGCTAGCTTCGCTTCTTCCAGTAGTTCGCGAAGGTAAAGTCCCTCCTTGGTGGCTGAGCAGAGTGCAATATATTCTGCTTCTGCTGAAGATAGTGCGATTAACTCCTGCTTGCTCGACTGCCAGGAGATAGGACCGATAGGCTCAAGGCAGTAGACATAGCCGGTGCGTGAGCGCCTGTTGTCGGTGTCGCCGGCGTGATCGGCGTCGACGTAGCCGATTAGCTTAGTTGGTGTAGCTGCGCTCTTGTGGTAGGTTAGCCCGATCGTCGCGGTGCTGACGAAGTAGTGGAGAGCGCGATCAAGTTCCGCCAGGTGTTCAGCTTCAGGCTTCTTGAGATAGGTGGCGAGCTGACTTGCGGAGTAGGATAAGTCAGGGCGGCAGGTGACGGCGGCGAATAGCAGGCATCCGAGCTTCTTCTGATAGTCGCGTATGCCGGCGGGCTTGAGTAGAGTAGTTCGTTCCTTCTCGGTTCCTGATGTATAGCGGTAAGGCGTGGAGATGGCGCTTGGTGTGAGGCTGAAGCGTTTCGCGATGGTGTCGGCGTATTTCTCGGCGCTTAGATAGATGGCGTTTTCTTCTTCGCGGATGTTGAGCCCGAGGTACTGTGTAACGGTGGAGGAGACCGTGAGCGTGAGATCTTTCTGGAGCTCTCCTTCGAACCACGTGGCGATGCCGTCGGTCGACCCAATGTAGAGGAGATCGTCCACGTAGACGATCAGGAGAACGTAGTCGCTTCCCTTAGTGAGGCGGTACATGCCTTGGTCGTGAGGTAGTTGACTAAAGCCGATGCGGATGAGACGGGCGTGCAGGTACTGCTGCCACAGTCGCGGTGCTTGCTTGATCCCGTAGAGCGACTTAAGTAGTTGACAGATTCGGTTGGGTTCGCCGTGGGAACCGTGCGGGAGCTCGACGTAGATTTCTGCATCCACAGGTGCGTAGAGGAAGGCATTCGCTACGTCGATCTGCCGTAACTTCTTCTTCTTCATGGCGGCAATGGCGAGGAGAATTCGGAGTGACGTGTGGCGGCTGACTGGAGCAAAGGTCTCGGTGAAGTCTCGTCCTTGCTCTTGGTCGAATCCACGTACGACCCAGCGTGCTTTGAATTTTTCGATCGTGCCGTCTGCTTTCGTCTTGATGCGGAAGACCCATTTCCCGGTAAGGATGGTTTTGTTCCGTGCCACGCTTACGGGAACAACCTTCCAAGTGTTGCGTTCCTCTAATGCCTTCAGTTCTCTATCCATGGCTTCACGCCATTTCTCCCTGTGTTCCCCCCCCAGAGCCTGCTGAACCGTTGCAGGCTCCTGAGGAAGCGAGCTGCGTGTGTTCCCGTGGACTGCGGTGACGAGGCCGAGGATTTGCAGCCCAGTCTGTGAGTATCGAGGGAGTTCTGGATCCTCGGGATAAGCTGCTTCGTCTCCCGCTTCTGGATCAGGGATGAAATTCGGTCCTATCCTTTCTGCTTCATTTGTGTTGACGGTTGCAGGTGTTACGTAACCTGTGTCGGCGAAGTGGTAGAAGACTTCGGCGTTGTTACTGTCGCGAGGATTTTCTTCGTCCATGGGCACGTTGACGGAGCAGTACGGGAGAGGTCCGGCTTCTGCCGATGCGTTGTCAACATTCTGTTCGTCCCAGTCTGCTTCATCCGCTGCTGATGCGAAGGCTCGGTCACCACGAAAACCACTGGTGAGGTCCCGATTCTCGTGCAAGTTGGCGAGGTACGTCTGAAGGGTGAGTCTTTCGTAGAAGATCACGTCACGTGCTGCTACTGTTTCCTTTGTGTGGATGTCGAAGATTCTCCATGCGTTGTAATTTTTCTCGATGCCGAGGTGTAGTCCCCACTGTGCCCGTTGCGAAAATCTTCCCGCTCGTGCTTCTGGGGGTCTGTACTGTACCATGCACCCGAAAACTCGTAACATTTTCGTGCTGCCCTGCTTCCCTGTCCACAGCAGATGCGGTGATGCGTTGTTCGGGAGTGACGACGACGACAACAAGTTGTGCAGCATGACAGCGTGGTCCATTGCTGCTGGCCACTGGTGGTTGGGTAGCCGCATGCCACGTAACAGTTTGCGCATGCTGTTCTGCAGGGTCCTGTTCAGTCGTTCTGCAACACCTTGCTGCTGATGTGCGTAGGGAAGGGAGAGGAGTTGCTTGATCCCCCTTTCCGCCAAGAACTGCTTGAAGCGGTGAGAGGTGTACTCGCCACCTCCGTCTGACTGGAAATTTTTTAGTTGTGTTCCAGACTCTCTCTCTGCTATCGGTAGCCAGGCGGCGAATGCTGCGAGTGCCATGTCGCGGCTGGGTAGGTTGCGATGCCAGACGTATCGAGTGGCGGCGTCGATGAAGGTGATGGTGTAGTTGTAGTTGACTTGTCCTGGTTCGCGATTGTAGAGGATGTCGCTGTAGACCTTTTCGAGTGGTGCGTACGCTGGAGCGCTCGGGTTGTGATGTGAAGCAAACGGTCGATGAGGTAAGTCAGCTTCGGGACATATAAGGCAAGTCCCTCGTGCCTTCTGGAGTTCTCTGCCATCGGGTAGAAGTAGAGAATCTTTGTCAAGGACTCCTGCTCTTATCGTGTTATTCAAAACCGTGTTGCTTGGATGTCCTGTTCGTGCGTGCCAGATCTCTTCAGAGGCGCGGTGTCCAGGTGAACGCTGATATGCGTCGGAGTTGGAGTAAAAGCTGGCGACGAGGTTGGCGCTTCGGTGGACTTCACGTTGAGTCGGATTCAGCTGTTGTGCGGGTGTTGGTGGTGCTTCGTTGACTGTGACTGGTGTCGTTGTTTCTGCTGCTGCTGATGTTGTTGCTGCTGCCGATGTTGTTGCTGCTGATGTCGATGTTGTTACTGCTGCCGATTGTCGAATTGTTGCTAATGCTCGTGTTCGTTCTGCTTCAGGAATGGTGTGCGAGTACCAGAAGCCTCCCGGGCTGAAGTCGGGGTCG